TTTGCAAGATCGACGGCGGCTGAACTCCATTCCTGTTCAGCTCACAAGTCAACTTTATCCCAGGCCACCACCGTCCATCGACTAGGGGCACTTTTCCCTTCCACCATCGGAAGGATTTTCAACCCTAACAAGTTACAAGTTCCACACTTGCGTGCGGAACCCACACTTGCATGCGGGTGTGTCCGTAAAAGCCGGGGGTCCATGGATGTTATATTAGTAGTATTGATGCGGGTACACAAGTGGTGCTCGGTGCCATAACCATGCCCACACCCAGCCTGGCTACCGGCGCGTAGCCTGTTGCCCTCACAGTAATTGATAAGTCGCCTCCCGATGATATTGCCGTAACTTTTGCATAGTGGGCCCCCAACCGCAATGCCCCGATAACTGTCGCAGCAGGACGCGTCCCCCTTTTTGTATAGGGGAAAACGGTGCTAGTCGTGAATAATCAGCTCGCGAATAATCAGCTCCGTATATGCGGTTGCATAGCACCGTTAAGTAAGGCGCCAACACAAACACTGGCCGCTGCCCTTCACTCTCCCTGATAGCGTACCTATAATACTCGGCCGGGGTTCCCTCCAGGCCCGCGGACAGGCTATGTTGCGCATAGCCTTGAGACCGCTAACAATTTCGCCCTCCGTAAAATCCTTGTTAAGCCAAGCAACTAATTCCTGTCGGTGCATCACCCGGTCCTCATCCTGCCATTTAAACTGGATACCCTCGTTGCAGCCTTGCCTCGCGTTTCCCGCACCATTAAGCACCTTGGAAAAATGCTCGGTAAAAGCATTAATATCTGAGATCCAGCAAGGAGGCGGTTTTCCCCCACGCAGCCATGTCCACAAGCCGCGTGGGTTGGACAGGGTGGCCTTAATCCTCCTCCGCATATTTTCCATTTCGGTCTCCTGAATAGCGGCCTTCCTAGTAGCCTCCTTGAAGACACGGTGCTTGGCCTTCCAGGTAGCCCTATGAATGTCCGGCAGCTTGCCCGAGGCGGAGTCCCTGATCTCCTTACGGAAACTCATCATATCATTCCATGCAGCGGCACAGTCCTCGTTCCACCAGTCACGCTTCACAAAATTCACCTTTTTACCCGTGCGACGCCGAACATCTCCCTAGCACACGTCCCGATTAGGGTGCGCAAGTCATTCATGCTTTCATCACAAGAGGCCCCTTCTCCTTGAGTTATCCTGTCCTCCCCACCTTACACACACACAGACACACGCACGCACACACAAGCACCCTCTCTCTTCCCAACGTATCCACCCACCTTGTCCACAGCCACCCTTCGCCCCTTCTTCCCCCCAAGAACACACACACACACAGGTACATGAGCGTCTACTCATGTACCTGTAACACGGCTCGTTCCACAGGCTGCCGTACCCCCATGATGCGGCAGTTCAGAGCGTCGCAAACTTGGTGTTTGGAAGTTGCCATCATAGCGTAACTGCAACTGCGCGAGAAAGCATACGTTTTTCAAATATGCTTTGCACCATCAACATTGCTGACACGAAGAGGGAAGGTCTTTGGCCCAAACAACAAATCTTTCCTGGGAATGAATTCACACAGCGAAAGTGCTCGAATGATCGAGGAGGGATCGTGGCCAGCTCTGCAATGTGAAATTTGAAGCCGAGAGCGTCTCGGTGCGTGCGAGCACCGTTGTTTCACGTGAAGTGAAGTTGTGTTTCAGCTATTTTCGGTATTAGCTGTTGCTTCTGTTAACTGAAATTTTGTTACCCGTTTGAGAATTACTTTGGTAACTGGGTTGTAACCGTATGTTCATGTCACGGAACCAAGGGTCATTTGCATTTCACTCCCCAGACTCCAGACAGCGTTTACAAACCTATCTAACCAACACTTGGAGCTCTAAATATCTCATCGCATCTCTTCCTTTCGCTTTCATGCTTTATGCGTGCGTCCAGTTACACGCGGCCGGCGGCGTTTGTGAAGTAGTAGGCTGCTGCATGCTGAACCACCGAACAGCCAGCAGCGCTTCCAACACGTTGCCTGGCCCTCCGCTTTCCGGACACCATCACACAGAATACCATATTACCATCAACTTTGAATTGGATGGGAGCGGCGCTATGTCGTTGCGTCTCGTGCGGCGCCCAAAGCAATGCCGCTCGCCCCGATATTGCCGCCAGCACCGCAACTTTTGCCAGCAGCAAGCCAAATCAAATCCGCGATCCTCCTTAGCAACAGCAGCAGCTAAAGTCGCACCGACTGCGGACGAGTCCGAGGGGGCACAGCCCATGGGTCCTTCCAGCGCACCTCAACGTCAGTTCGGACCTTTCGGCCACCAACGCGCAGCACCTTTGCCAGCTTCCCGCCATTCGCGAAGATTCGTCATCGTCCTCAGCTGTGGCTGCCGCGACCGACTCCCTTAGCCTTAGAGCTGCAACGGCAGGCCTTAGCGCAGCAGCAGCAGCAGCAGCAGCAGCAGCAGCAGCAGCAGGAGCTATTAGTCGTAGTACGAAAGGGTCGGTCGCAGGAGGAGGAGCAACAAGAGCAGGCGCAGGCCCCAGTTCAAGCATTCCAACGCGAAGCCGTCCAGCAGAGGCAAGTACGGCCAAGGGACCTGCCGCTGGTCGTCAGATGAAGATAATGTTTCGCAACGAAAGTATTTTTTAAGGAGATACTTCACGAAATTTAGTGATTTACAAAGTCTTGTCGTGTCGAAGCCTAATGTTGTGGCGCGGTGTTGTGCGGTGTTGTGCATTCCTTTGCTCGTCTTCCCCCCCTCCCTCTCCCCCTCACCCCCAGCTCCTTTCAGCATGTGGTCGGGTGCGGCCGTCTCCACCCTCTCCGCCTTCTCACAAACCGTGAGGTCGCTTCCAAGCTGCCATCCAAGTCCTCACGGCGCCGCCAGGGCCCAACACCCGCCTGCCTTGTCGGGCGGCGGCGGCGGCGGGAGCGGCGGCGGCGGCGGCGGATCTCACAGGCAGTTGCTGACGTCAATGTCGTCGATCTCGTCCACTACTACCGCCGCCCCACCTGCCACCGCCGTCGCCACGCAGTCGCCGCCAGCGCCGCCGACAACTCCCGTACAGCCGACAGCTCCCTTGTCGGGCGGCGGCGGCGGGGGCGGCGGCGGGGCAAACAACAAGTAACAACAACAACAACAACAACAACAACAACGATAACAGCAACAAC